TGTTCACATACGGGAGTGCAATTTACTATATAAGGAAAAGAATAAAGACCCTTTATGTAAATGTAATAACAGGCGAGTAATACCTTCAAAAGGAAAGGRAAACAGTCTCTTGGGTACAGAAGGTTCGTCTGCCCCAGCTGTCTTCTCTCACTTGTTGRGGGAAGACATTTGGGGAAAGGCCAAATCACAGATATTCACCAAGCATGCAACTTTTAGTGCAGCACAATGTCTCAATCAGCTCACCAARGAAGCTGTGAGTGTGCAGCACATCCCTGCTGTGTGCCAGGAACGAGTGACTCTGGGTGTCAGTGACAGCACAACGGGAGCAGCAGCATCACCTCCTCCTCCAGCTGAGCAGAACCATGGCGTGGCTGCCCCTGCATCAGTTCAAATCCCTGCATCAGAGGGTTTTATGGGGGATCCCCACACATTAGGATCACAGATGGCCAGCCTGGATCCACGGACTGGAGCCAGATCCCAAAAAAGGCTCAGTCAGCTCTGTCATCTGCCCACCAGGGATTATTCACAGGTCCATCAAGTTATCAAAATGCAGACATCATCTGTTGTGTCCCTGTGGTGTGCAGTGCCCCCTTTGGGGTCAGATCATAGGGGAGCTGCTGGCCATGGTGGAGAGGGGTCAGGGAATGCCGTGTCCTCAGGTGTCTCCTGCCACTGCTGTGCTGTTCTCAACGTGGCTGCCCAAGCCATGGCAGGGAAATTCTGTGCCCCGACCTTCTCTCTGTCCTGCTTCCTGAACCACTGTAATTCATGTTTTCCAAGGCCCARCTGCCTCTTAAACTGATTTCTGAATGAAAACAGTCAACTGCACCACTTAGAAATTCTTATTTCACAATGTTCTCAGACTCTGGGGGGAGTGTGGTCTCTACTCCAGGCTGAAATCTAACATTAGAATTTATTTCAGGCTTGCTAAAGTGTTTAGCCCAAAAGGATATTTTGTGGAGGACAAAATATGGGGCAGAGAGATGAATGCTTTACACATGATGTTTTGCCCTTCCCTAGCTAAAAAGCAGTTGAATAAATTTTCTTTTAATTGTTCATAGTGTAAAATGGAAAATAAGTTTAATTTCAACATTTTAAAAGATCKTTTTAAAATAGTGCATGTGAAGAATACGTGTTTAGAATTAAAATCCAATTTAATATAATCCCATCAAATTGAGCAACCAAAATGATTTATTGRTCATCTCAATTTAATATTTCAATGTCTCCTTACAAATGTAACTCTTCACTTCAGAGCCTTGAAACTTGTCTGATAGTAATGGTATATGCAATTTATGAGTAACTGGTGGGRCTGCATGGATTTTGATATTCATTCTGGATATCCTAGATCTTTGGAGCTAATATTTTGTATTAATGTGTGTATAATAATATGTGTATTATCGTAAWGCAAAGAGAATTGCTTGGGACAAAATTGAAGCTGCATCAGACTGTGAAAGGTCTCTGTTTAATTTATTTACTGAATAATTGAGCAAAGACTCCTGTGTTTTCTACATTTAGGCTCTTTAAATTACTGTTTTTATGTTATAAAGAATTCTGTTCTACATGATTAACATGATGTGTTTGTTTAAGAAAAAATGCTCTCCTGTGTAAATAGTGTCTACAGAATTTGCTTGAATATTTGTTGCTTATGGAAGTTCTACAGCAAGGCCTTTTCCTAAGGCATACATTTATCAGCTGAAATCTTGATTGTTTTGCCTGTATTATGTCACTCACGTCTGGCAAGAACAGCATCCTGCTGTTTGTGAAGCTGAMCTCCTGCTGCTGCTCAGCCACTTGGAGGATTCTATCCCAATTCCTCTAATCCACTCTGTTTCAATAGCACCATATTTGGGCTCCTTCACAGATTCTTTTGCTGCTCTGTTTGGGATGCTCTATGAGCTGAATTAGAATTTTAATGTTCCGTTCAAAACAGAAGGAACCTTTTTGTTAAATGAGAATATAAGGAATAATCTCCTCTGCTCCCTTGGATAGAAATTCTACACATGCACTGTATTATTTTCCTTCAAATTTTTGTCCAGAAGTTTGGGGCACTGTTTCAATATATTGGTTTACTTTGTGTAAATCAGATCCAATTTGAGGTTTAATGTTGCAATAAGGSCTGCTACCATCTTAAAGTGTTTCTTTCCTGTTGTAACTCCTCGTTCAGAGTTCACTGCTCCTTGTTTCCATTATGTCAAGGGTTTACTAAAATCTTTTCAAGCTCCTTGTGCAAGTCAGGCCTAATTAAAGCAGAGAACTGAAAAGACTCCAAAAATGGTGTTAGAAACAACACCAAAGCACAAAGTGCACTGTAGGTATTTTTGCCACACTTTCAAGAAGCCAGGAAAGATTTTCATATGTGCTTTTCCAGAGGCAATTTTGTGATCCCCACACAATCATGGTGTATACACCTTGATTGGTGTTTACATGTATGTATGCCTGTGTACATGTGTGTGTGTGTATATATATATCTATATGGAATATTTATATATATGTGGTCTGTCCCTTTACTTCACACCTGAGCCTGTTAACTTTGCTGGATCTACTTGTGGTCAACATAGCAACTGAAAAAAACAGAATAGYAGAACATGATCCGTTATAATTCAGAGCTCCTGAGTTTATACTTGAGTATAACTCCTGCTATACTTTAAGAATTGTTCTTTAGAGGATGGGATTTAGTTTACTGAAAAATAAATATGTGGCTGGATTATGATGCTRATTTTRTTCTTTGAAGAAGAAGTTCTTWGGGTACAATGGAATATTGCATGAGTCTCTCTTGTACAATTTAAAAAACCTTCAGTGTAGCATATAGCACTTACCTAAGTGTATAAAGAGAAAAGACACATTAYCGAGGTGAAACATATTTCAACAATTTCATGAAGTGTCTCTCATTTCTACCAAACTTCCCTCACTGGAAAATTCTTTTAGAACATGTTCCATGTTTGCTTCAGCTGTAGCTTTCTGCAGTCCAAGGTTCCCTCAGCCTTGCTGGATCATCATGGTCAGGAACCGCCTGGTGCCAGGAGCTGCCGAGAAACCTCGTGCCAAGAATGGGATTGGGGATGGAGATGGGAACTGGAACAGCCAAACAGCCTCAGCAGTTTGATACAATGATAARCATCACTGCTAGAAATGGAACAGAGAAGATAATGGAGAAAACGGGGGAAAGAAAATGACTTCAGAAAGAGAAGGTGAAACAGGGATAGAGGCCGTGAAGTCTGGGAGGGARCAGAGGAAACAGCGCTGGAGAAGCGGGACAAAGAAAATGTATTACACGGCCTCYTTTCTTGCATTTAGCAAGTAATGTATATATGATTTGTTCACAAATGTGTTAACATTTTAATGATAGCAAAAGGCTTTTATCACAGGATTTAATCTGTGGAATACAAAACAAAGAGGTTTGTAAGTTAACCCTCYATGCAGTATCAGTGGGAAGACTTGCGGTTCTGCTGCTCCTTCTCTGTTTGTACTTTAAAATTAATTGAAAGCCTCATTGTTTTGTTTAAACTGTGAAAGCTTCCAAGGTCAATGAGTGAGGTAATTGACCTGCCTGTTGTAGGACAAAAATATGTATGTTAAATTGCATAATTAGTTTTAATTACATAATTATGGTGTTTAATGTGGGGGGTCAAAGGTTACTATTACATTTAGAAGTCATGGCAAGAAACACAAAAATAAGCAACATAGTTTAATTCTGTGTTTCTTTGGGTTTTTAAAAAAGAGGTCCACTGTGATCTGTCCTTGACCTTGGATATTTGATGATTACAGCAAATAATATATTGCTGTTACCCTTTTTGGAATCATAGAGACACCTTTGTAAATGACTAAGTGATTTTACCAAAGACTTCATTTAGGTTTAGAGTACACAAAAGTTAATCAACAGTGGGAACTCAACTGACAGCAATTTAATCTGATTGGGTAAGGTAATTACATGATTACCAGGAGTGTTTATATATGGACAAGGATATTTTTATTGGAAAAAATCCTAATTACTTTCTTACTGAGAAGAGAAAAAAACAAACAAATTTGTTGTTRCAGGTTAAGAGGACATCCTTCGTTCCTTGAAATAGCTTCTTTTCATACTTTAAYGACAAAATGAACTCATAATTCTTTGCAAATTTGCACTGGGATCATGTCAGGARTTCCTCTGTTTCTGAACTTGAAATAATGCCGCCAATATCTTGTTTCATTTAAGCAGCTCATTGCTTATACATCAGTTGTGTGATAGCCTAAAGATGTCATGATGCTTGTAATTAATTATCTCTTTCACTGTGTGTAAACATTGTTGCTTAAATACACCTTGATTTTACCAAACCTAGACCTAAAGGTCCATTATACTAATGGGTATTTCTGGGAAGAAGGGCGGTATTTGTTTTTCYATGATGGTAAAAAAAAAAGCACCATGTAAAAGATAGGGAGATAAAAGATGGTGTTCCTAAATGCTGGAAGAAAAGGTATCACTTGAGGTTCTCTGAAGGGTCCTTTAGAAAATGTCCTTTCATTCTATTGACAAAGAAGGGACTGTTGGGAGATGTATCTTCATTAACAAACATTAACCTCTGTGCTTACCTCGCTGAAGAGCACTGCAGAGCAGGATCCTATTGGGCTGATAAATACTGGCTTGCTCTAAAACCTGATTAATGAACAGGCTGGGCCTGGCCTTGGCACTTTGTAGGGTTGTGTTGTCTAAGCCTAGATGCAAAAAAATAAGAAATTTTGACTTCTAAGAATTACTTCAGATCTTATCAGTAACTTCTGAACACATTCTGACAATGGAAATGGAATGCAATCCTCTCAAGGCTGACTTCTTAAAGAACTGAAAAGTTAATTACTTAAATGTTAAATACAAAATAAATGYATTTTAGGAATTGAATATAAAATTATGAAAGGAAGTTCTGTGATATATTCCATGTTATAAAAATTACTTGTTCTCCCTTTTGCTGATTWTTCCCTTATAAGTGCTTTAGAAAATATTACAATTTTGAATTGTTTTTCTAAACCAGATGATCCAGTCACTGTTGGAGGCACATAGCCACGGCAAAATCTCATGCTGTACATTGATCACCTGTCCAACCTTTGCCTAGAGTGTGATCCCCAGTTCCTTCAAGAGATCCATCTTTACCWGTCTATAAAGAAGAAGAGGAGGAGGGAGACATCTGGGATATTCAAGTATCAAAGTTTAACACCAGAGCAGGTCGAATCTTGATTTATATTATTCTCTGTATGTGTTGCTCTTGTTGATGGGGATATTTGGCTGGAGATTTTTGCAGTGATTGTACAATGTGTGTGGAAGTTGCTCCAGTGCTGAAACATTTCTGTTTAGACTYGCTGAAACTGCACATGCATTTTTCATAGTTCTGTGGTGTGAAATTGAACCCAAAGTCACTCTGCTCTGAAGGAGGCTGGCTGATACTGAGCATGCCTGAGTCTGTAGCTCTCCCTTGAACATTGCTGACCACAGAGACTGAACTGTGGCAATCTGTTTAAAGCTGTCCAGAGTTGTAGCTGGACCATTCTGTCCTTAGCACACACCCAATCCATCTCCCTGGCCGGTGTGACGGTGCTCATTCACTTGTTAAACTGTTTTATCCCCACTCTTCCCTTTCCAAGGGGACTCTGACATCCCCAAAAAGCCAAGGTTTTTCTTGCTGTCCTAAGGACTGCCCCTTCAGGAGCGTAGCACAGCCCACACACAAACCTGGAACATGTCCAGCTTGTTCTTTGAGCAGAATGTGAACCCCTGACCTCCCGGGCCTCCGGCAAGAGCGCTGCCTACTGAGCCACCAATACCCAGGCCATCAATAAGTTTTAAATGCCAGTTGCAGACTTCACAGAGATAATGACTTCAGTGTGTAAAGGTTTTGTTGTGGAGGCTGCAGTCTCACACATGGCGTGACAGAGTAAATATGCTAAAACCATAGAGAGCCCTTGCATAACTTGCCTTGATATAACAGTTTTTGTAATATGTTTCAAGGCATGGAATATTATTTAAAGGGACCCTGTTATGTAGGCTTAGGCCCAAAATGAAGCTATTATGAAAAGAATGTTTAGCAAAACCAGAAATATGTCCATGAAATTGTTGGAGTGGGAATTTCAGAGTAACCTTGCTTGGATTTAAAGTCGCCTGCATGACATTGCACTGTTGTGCTAGGGAATGAGAACCAGCAAATGAAAATACTGTTAAGTGAGAATCAGAAACTGAGCAGAATAAAGATGTTAGAAGGCGATTACTATTGTTATAACTTCTTAAAAATCTTACCTCATCCTRAGAAAGATGAGATGAAAAAATAAATTCCAATTTATTGATTCAAAGCAGCATTATTGACACAGGGAAAACCATGGATTTGCATTTTAATAGTATTTTTAATTCAATCTCAAGTAAGTTCTTGTGTTTTAAGTACTTATAAAGGAAAATGGATATGAAATAAGGTTTTGAATATGAAATCAGGTTTTGGCACATTTCAGTTTTATTGATGGTTTCTATTTAAAACTCWGCATTAAAAGCATACAAGAGATACATTGATGTTTGCAAAAARAGTGTTATTTATAGACTTGGATCAGGAAGGCAGACATGGCCAGATTGAAGCTAGGACTTAGATTGCTGAAAGGCTGTTAGATAAATTGCATGAAGCTTGTGTGGAGCAAAGGCCAGGAACCCAGGACTCCTTTTCCCAGCTGAGTGCCTACATCACTAGGCTACAGACTCTTGCTCCCTCTTGTGTTCTTTCTCTGGCCCAATGAATCTGGAATTATTTTCTGCACAATGATAGAGCTTCAGTGGTAGAACTTTGGYGTGTCCATCTCCATGTCCCAGCCTTCACTGCAGCTGAGCAGTTGGAGCATTCTGCTCACAGGCATTGCTGGGTCCTGGGCTGGAGAAGGAAGAGGAGCTGGAGATTTGGCTCCTGGGATGAGCAGGGCTGCTGCCAGGCTGGCAATGACTCCTGCTCATGGCCCATTGTGGAAGAAAATAGCACCTGAARGGTTTTGTAAACCCACCTGGCTGGTGTTTGTGGGGCTGGCTCGGGGAGCACCTGCTGGGCAAACTCAGATCAGCTGTGCAGCTTCCCCAGGCTCAGGCATGAGCTGAGCCACGAGAGGATCCATCCTGGATGAGCAGGAAAACTCTGTCCATGCACAGACATGCAGCTTCTGGGTCTGGCCTGTGTGCCATCAAAGCCTTTATTGCCATCAGAAACATCTCCAGATGAGGTAGGCGCCTCCAGGATCACCATTTTAGCTACGCATGCTTAAATTCTCCTCACGACCCATTTTGAGTTCCCACATTTTCAGGCTTTTAATTAGATTAATTTAACAGTCCCTTTGAATTTAGAACTGAGAAATTTTATGAACATGTTTTTCACACATAAGCTAAACTTTAAAGGATGTCTTATAATTAAGCAAGAGAATGGGAAGAATTTGTGGTTCAAAAGTGCATTGTCAGTTATGGGGCAGAGACAAACACAGCATGTTTTGAAGCTTAAAAAGTGAAATTGCTTTAAACATGTTAATGCTGTTCAGGCAGCTCTGTAGAGCAGTGTGTGCTTAAACTTAGGAGTAGCCAAGTAAATTGACTGCATTGCCATTATAAAACAAACGGTTGTCAAAATTGCTGACTTAGTTCTTAGGCTTCCTTTTATTTTTTTCCCCATTTATGTGTTTTTATGAAGTCYTGCAGTGCAGACCCTTATTCATGCAAATGCATTTATCTGCCYCAGTGGAATTATTTTGGTGAATTAGTCAATGTGTAAGATCAACTAGGATGAGCCTGGTTTCCTTTTCAATAGGAATGCTGATTTTGAAAATGACATCTGTGCACTATTTTTGTCCGAAGAGCTACAGACAGTATAAAATTGGAACGGTCAATTTCCTTGGCTGTTTTTCTATTATTTTTTCTACCTGTTTAAAACACTGGAGGAATAATGTGATTCAGTACACGTTGCTTTTCTGGCAGTAAGTGTATCACCTTGTTTGGTATCCAAATGTGAGCTGTTGCTGCTCTGTAATACCGTGAATTAGGGTGGTGGAGGTGGGAATAGAAACTTRTATTTAAGACAGGTGATTGGTTTCAAAGACAACTCTTTTTCTGCCTTRCTGGTGTCTATTTTCATGGCAATGGAACCTTTTCTGTAGTAGGAGTACACTCAGGAGTGGGAAGGATGCTGTCTGTACACTGTTGTTCATGGTTTAGGGGCAGTTTCTTTGGCAGCTTTATGGTGCCACATGCAGGGCTCTCACTGTCCCATAACCTGCCTTTAGCAGGGCCATCACTTGCTCWGTGTAACATTGTCTGTCCTTTCCCAGTGAGCAGGAGTTCAATTGATAAAGGTTGTAATGATATTARTGATTTTCTGTGCAGGAGCTGCTTAGGATGCTGTTGGCTTCATCGCCTTATGAAGGGTGTATGTTGGGGTGTTAAAGGAGGCCTTTAGGTAGCAGCTGTATGAATTTGGGATAAATAGCTAAAATCCKCCTGTAGTAACCCACATTATAATAGAGAGGGCTGAATGAAAGCCAGAATGGGAAAATTGAGTGGGAGGGGSCAGGAGAACACATTTCTACAGAAAGCTGTAGTGGTAAACTTGGGGGTTGAGTAAAGGTCTTAAAAAATGAAAAAAAAATTGTGTAACTGTGGATAAACCACATCACATGACTTTAGTTGATTTAGAATCGTGCAATTTGGGAAGCCCTGCGTGAGGCAGTAACAATAACTAAAAGTTGTGATCAATAAGCATCTCAGCGGAGGCAGTAGTCAAATGTAAGATCAGCTAYAGAAGAACAAGCTAAGAAAAACAGTCTTGTAGTTCCAATCACATGAAAATTGCTGTTTCATTTGGGAACAGCATACTTTCAATATTATACATTGGAAGGGTAAAAGTAAATCGACGTAAATACGACTCTTATGTTAGTTAAAGCTCACATTAAAGACCTTATCCTCCCAGCTATAAAAATAATCAACTTCATTGTCAATTAACCAAAAAAAAAAAAATTGTGAATGCTGTTGTGCTCTCCCTTGATCAATTTTGCATAAAAACCTTTATAATTTTATTATATATTTGGGTATTTTTATAGGAAGGTTTGATTGATGGATGGTTTGTAACAATGATTCCTCAGCCTCAAATTACTTGATATCTTGAACAGGAAAAGATTGCATGGGATGATCTTGCTGTCCTCTTTTTAGTGTTGCCACAAAGGAAAAAGATTGTTTACAAATGTCTGAGTATTTTTTTTTTAATCTGCTCTTGGAAATACTGAAGCTAATAGGGATTTTTCCAAGTTAACAGAGTTTTTGATTTAAATTGTTGCATTATCAAACCTGAAACCTCTCTCACGAATTTTAAAGAAATTTCCTTTAGCAAGCTTTAATTTCAAATAGCAAATAAATAATTTATTGGAAATGGAACTGCTCAAAAAGAAAGTTGAGGGAAATCTGCATTACAATACCCAGAGCCTAATAGTTCAGGCATTATCCTTTAAGACATGCGACTTTGGTTCAATTTCCTTTTCTGAATCCAGCTGAATAGAGACTTAAATCCAGCTGAATAKCTAATGCATCCAAGGCAACTGTCTTTGCCACTGGACTATTGTCTGTAATAGGTTGGGTATCTCTGCTTTTGTGAAAATTGTGAAAGGATTTGTCCTAATACTAACAAGACCTTTCTGAAATCTTCAGAATTCTCATAGGCTGGGAACGAACCTTTGTGCTTAGCTTTATTCATAACCCCCAGGCTCTGAAGAAATGTCTGTAATAATCATTATTTTGTATATTCATACCAGGCAACATTTGTTAATCTGGGCTCTAAACTAAATCTCAATCTCAGACTCCATACACAACTGTMTTTCCATGCCTCTGGTTATTCCTGTCAGCTGTCTCTGGTTTTTCTGTTTTTCCCATATCCATTCTTTTAACCAAATCTGCCTAAAAGTAGTACTTGGGCTGTAACAACAATGAATTTAATGTCATTTTTCAACATAGCCTTGTGTATTCTTTGCACACTCTATTTCATTATGATGAAGTGAACTCTGTGATCACTGTTGAGGATGCTTCTGGTTGAAATGTCCACTAAATGAAAAGAAAAACTTCCAAAACCTGTTGAAARTAATTTAATGGTGGTTAGGACATTGTTTTGGAGTATGCAGTCGTGATGGATTCCAAGAACCCAGAGGCATTGGGATGGTTTGGGTGGCGGGTCA